ATCTACTCGTGAGTGAGTGGACAGACCTGTGGCGGAACCGCTGACTCTGAGCACCATCGCGACGACGGGTCGTTCGGATTGTCTTCTAATATACGGCTATAAAGAGAGATAATTGTCACATAAGAGTAGATCAGATGAGTGATACTCAGACATACTTCGGGTGATAGCTCTGCGCATAACTGGACACCGCGTGTATGGTATACGACAGCGACTTCTCCACCCTCTGACCACCGCTGCCGTCGCCGCTGTCCATCATATCCACCACTTCTTCAGGTGTTTCCCAATCGCATCGATACAGTAGAGACACAATGGATGCACGCGTTGACAACCGATTTGGGATCAATTTGATTATCTCAGCGACGGTTAAACGGTTGCCAAACAAACGCGACGTTTATTTCAATTGTATTTTTGGTTTAATTTTTGTTTTGATTTGAATTTTTTCAAAATCAAAACACTTTGTATTGCTTTCACTCATTCATACTATTCATGCATTACATGCCCTAAAACCGCTATATTTCGAACCCCTTTTAAACCCCCGTTATGTAACTCAAAGTTAAAGTTATTTTTTCAATCTCACTCTTTCCGTGCATTTTATCGTAACGTTGTATTTGAGTGTTTGGTGTTTGACATTGAAATCGCATTGAATGCCTGTCTGTACGCAGGAGACAAATCTATGGCAACCATACAGCGGCTTAGCATAACTGTTCACAAATAACGTATTCCTATCATTCACGCTATGATCAAAGTAAAGGGGAGTGAAGGGCTATCGATGGCCGCCACACATGTGTTCACACAATAGACAGTGACTTCGAGAAACTCAATAATAAAGTGAAAGCCTAACAGACAAACAGACAATACATTTACAGTCAAACAGACTGTACACAATTCAATTCAAAGTGATTTACATTTAGTCTGTAATTAACTGTCAATTAAGACCACAATTGTGTTGAATATATGTTTGGTATTCACACCAATAGTTTGCCGATATTTTTGTCTTAAAAATTAGTCATTTTATTGATCTAATCGTGAGTTATATAACGAGTAATTGTCGCCAAATTCATGTCTCACTCGCCAGTGATCTTCGCATTCAATCGATAGCTAAAGACATTTAACAAGTGATCTGTGGTTTCGGCGGTGTCTTAACAGTGATAACTACTTCATAGGCGTTGTATTGACCGATAAGTATGTCCAACAACTCATCCATGTTTAAGGTATGAGCCATCATATGATTAGGTGTTGATGTCTGTCACTAACCATTCAATTGATGTGTTAATGTCTGTCGTATTGTCATCGATGTGGACGTCTTCAGGAAAAGGGTTCGCTTCAGTTCGAAGACATTTGGCCGAAGATGAGACCCGTTATACTCAGACTCTTACGACAAGAGGCCGTCTCAAGAGGTCAATGGCAGGAACTCTTCTGGTAGGG